ACAAAACCGTCCAACAGCCAATGAAGAATAACGGCCAGAAGGAATATGCATTGAAATGTTTGGAAACTCATTGAGATTAATAATTGAATTTGCGTAAATTATTTAAATAAATTGCAATAATTTTGAATTCTTACATAAAATGTTAAATCTATTTAAGGGGAATGGCATAGCTGCAACCCGATACGCAACTTTTGCAAGGATGCGATGCTACAGAATTTTATTCGCCAAGATGCATCCTGTTGTGGAACAATTGTGAAATGAAACACGCACACAGAATGCACTTCACTTCAAACCAATCCCTCACAAACTAGTTGCATGTTCGTTGCAGAATTCATCGCCTTGTTGCTGATGGATTAGTAATACGCAACAAATGGGCTAGGGCTGCCATGATTTCAAAAATGAAACTTACCGGTAAGGTTATTTTTCAACGGAATTGCCTGAAATTCCACACAAGGAGTTTCTTGTGGGTATTTTACCCCCTAGAAGGTTATTGTTTACATAGGTCCACAATACCGTATAGCCCCCATATAACGGTACCCCGATATTCTGTATTTTCAAGATTCTGGCCACATTTCTCAATGGAATTGTCTGAAGTTCCACAGAAAAAGTTCATTGTGAGTACCTTACCCTCTGAAAGGGAATTGTCTATATAGGTCCACGATATCGTATAGCGCCCATATGACGGTACCCCCCGATATTCGGTATTTTGATAATTTTAGCCACATTTTTTCAACGGAATTGTCTGAAATTCTACACAAGGAGCTATTTTTGAGTACTTTATCCCCTAGGAGATAATTATGTATATAGGTCCACGATATCGTATAGCCCCCATGTAACGGTACCCCCTTATATTCGGAATTTTATGGTTTTAGCCACATTTTTCAACGGAATTGTCTGAAATTCTACACACGGAGTTATTTATGAGCACTTTAACCTCTGAAAGAGAATTGTCTATATAGGTCCACTATATCGTATAGCCCCCATATAACACTACCCCCATATTCGGTATTTTGATGATTTTAGCCACATTTTTTGACGGAATTGTCTGAAATTCCACACAAGGAGTTCCTTGTGAGTACTTTATTCCCAGACATAGGTTTGTCTATATATATCGGCACCTTCCGATATTCGCTATTTTTAAGATTTTAACAGAATTTTTAAGGGTTCTTATTTTTTTGAAAATATCCTAATTCGTTGCAAATGGTGGAGGGTATTCAAAGTTCGGTCCGGCCGAACTTACTGCTTTTTAACTTTTTTTATACATCGTTCCAACGCAGTTGGGTCGAAATTCATGTATTCTAGAAATGACTGAAAACTAAAAGATTAGGATTTTTGAATTAGGTTTATTTATATTATCTTGAAATTTCATTATAGTCAGAATTTGTGTTAGCATTTATTTTTAACCCTCCACAATACATAATATGGAGGGTATATTGAGTACGTCATTCCATTTGTATCTAATCGAAATAATAATTGTAGACCTAACAAAGTATATATACTTTTGATCAGCGTAAAATTCTTAAACGATTTAGCCCCATCCGTCCGTCTGACTTCTAACCGTCTGTTGTAATCACGCTAAAGTCAAAAGAGATGGGCTGCATTGGTCCACGATATCGTATGACGGTACCCCCGATATTCGGCATTTTAACTTTAATTAATTTTTTTTAATTTTGATTTTCAGAACATTATTCGCCGGAATTGTTCACATTTCATGTTTGATGCTCGTAGTGGGTCCCACACATGGTACAATGAAGAGAAGGTAGGTCAACTTTGAAAAAATTGCAAGTATAGAGGTCACCTGTTTGGCTTGTAATGTCAGAATTACTATCAAAATAATAAAAAAACAAACAACTTGTTGCATTGATTTTAAATAAATAGTTTAAAACCGCGAAAACTGAATGAATGGTCAAAATTTCTTTTCAATATCATGTTCTATATATCTCTTATGGTTTATTTCGCGACAAAAACTGTAGATTTTGTCGATGCATTCGTTGCAATAAGCATTTTGAAAAAACCCGAATTTGAATATTTTCTGAAGAATTTTTTATTTTTGAAAAGAAGACACACACATAAGCAAATGAAGTTGACATATTAAGCCAGAAAAATAAAAAAAATTAAATCATATGGTAGTTCTGCCCTACCTTGAATTCATTGTACCATGGGTCCCACAAACTATGACGGAAAATTTTCTATGTAGGTCACGTCTTCATATAGCCACATATAACGGCACCTCCCATCATTTGGTATTTTGATGATATTAGCGGCATCATTCACCGACATTTTTTCTAGTTTGATGATATTATAGAGACATTTGTCAACGTCTTCTTATAGCCTCCATATAACGTTTTTCCTTTGAGCGGTTCTTTTCGACAGCATTCACGATACTGACCACATTATTTGTCGTACAGCTTCAACATTTTGCACAACAATTTGAATTGCATGTAGGATGGTTGGTATTGAAATGAGATATATTGGCTCATATTTTGGTATGATTTTTGCCACATTTTTTACGGATTTATCTAAAAAAATAGTATTTGTAGTTCGTAATGGATTCCAGCTCCGGTGACGGAACATTATGTATATATGTCCACATTTTCGTTTAGTCTCCATATAACTGTACATCCCGATATTCAGTACATTGACGATTTTGCACATTTTTCTAAAAATTTGTCTAAAAACGGTATTTAAAGTTTATAGTGGGTCCTAGATCCGCTGGCAAAACATTGACTATCAAGGTCCAGGTTTTCCTATGGCGCTCATATAACAGAACCCACCGATATTCGGGATTTTGATAATCCTAGTCACATTTACCCACAAAATTGTTTCAAATTTGGTATCTAAGACTCACAATAGAGAATAGTCCTTGTAGTATAATATTGTCTATATAGGTTCCCGTTTTGGTATGGCACCCATATAACGGCCTCACCCACTTTATGGTTTTTTGAAAAGTTGAACTGCGTTATCCAAACTGTCTTACTGGTATTTGTAGTTTAAATTGGAACACGTTTGAATTCAGATACTTTTATATAAAAATGTTAAATGTTTAAAAGCTCGGTCCGGCCGAACTTAATGTGTTTTACTTGTTATACCGAAGTAATGATCGCAATCTCTGATTTCGTGGATTAATATTTTCTTAGTCCTTAGTTTTTTTTGTTAAAATAACAATATATGGAGATAAAGATGGAGTAGAAACTATTGGCAAATGATTATTTGTGGAAGCAATTGGCACAAGTTCAATAATCTATTATGACAAAAAAGTGAAGACCGTTTAAGGATATAAAACTTGTCAAATTGTGATCTGTTGCCTCCATTTGGAAGACTTTTTCAAAACGTCGAGTTTTCTAATAGTTAAGACTGAAATATTGTTACAAATGGGTTGAAAATGCGAATAATGAATTTTGAATTTATATATGAATCAATACATTATTTTATATCCTCTACTACAAATTGTCGTAGCGGTACTAACACTTCAAAACATTCATTAGTCATAATAAATTATATATTCCTGATTAGGATAAAATTCTATAGATGCAAACATATAGAGGGCGTTTTTACTAGCTTAAGTCATCGACTGGCTTCTTCGTAAAGAAATAAAGCAGTATTAGGTTGACCTAGTCGAATTTCGGTCCATAACTTATACTTGCGTATGGTGAACTCATTTATTCTTTTACAAAGAAGCCAGCCGATGACTTAAGCCAGTAAAAAACTGGTTCTATGTGTTCTCACCTAGGAATCTAGAAATTGTCTGCATTATTTTATGTGGAGCTTTTAAATGTGATTTAACAATCTATAATGTCTAGAGTCTCTGTTATTGAAAATATGATATATCGGTCCACGTTTTGTTAAAAACCACATGTATTGGTCACTCCTGGCATTCCTTCTTCTAATTGTCTTAGAGAGCAGTATAAATTTCAGCGGTAGACTCCAATTTTCTGATATGTTGGAGGTGATATTTTTAGTATACATACAGGTTTATGGAAGGAAATAGTTTATTCCGTGAATATACCTTCAAACCGATGGGCTTAGATATAAATTATTTTAAATTTCGTACTTGAAGATCATTATGGGTTCTATAGGCTATAACAAAAATTTTTGTTGCAGGTCCACGTCTTTGTATAGCCCCCATATAACGGAAGCTCCAGACTTTCGGTATTTTGATGTGTTCAGTATATTGATGGTTTCAGCAACATTCTTAATGGTTACTACAACCTATGGAAAAAAATGCGTATGCTGGTCCACGTCTTCGTATAGCCCCCTTATAATAAAGGGAAAATCGTTTATAGTTGGAAAAAAATTTAAATTCATTTAGTTCTGATTTTACTATGCGTTAATAAAAATTGTCCCTCTTTAGTTCCTTCATTCGAATAATCATCACTAACTAGAGAATTTAGTGGGATATAAAAATGTTTCGTACATTTCCTTAAAGCCAACTACTTTAAAACAATGGTATAAAAATCTAAATCGACTATTTGAAAATGAAAAAAAAAATATTTGCTTTGGCAACCATAACAAAAGCTCTTCATATAATTACCATCATACCCTTCGCATCATGTATATGTTCCAATCAAACTTAACTTATGTTGCATGTTGTACCATCCACATAACACCACTAGCCAACTGGTGATATCGAACACAAAGTTTGCTGCATATGCTTGTGATGTGTGGTGGGGCAGACCACACGACGCATTCAAATCAAACCCAAAGCCCACATCTGCAAGCATTCGCATACTCGCACACACACACACTCCCCATGCGGATGTTTCAACACTCACACATAGCCACCAGAGAAATGAAAACAAAACAAAAAAGCACACAAACAACAACACACAACATAATAACAAGAACAACTCAGTCAAACGGCAATGACGACGACGACGTCGATGATGATGAAGAAGACGAAGGCAACAACAAACAACGCAGCCAACAAACGGTATGAGTGGCATTGAAACGGGGGTTGGTTTTCGATTGCTCATGCACGGCGCGAACAGTTGTTGTGTATCCTTCGAAGGGTGAAAAGTTTTCGTTTCAATGAGACTTTTGCACCGCATTTGTATTTGCCAGCGGCCGAACGTTTTTTAAAAACATTCAATTCATTCTCTGGTTCTTTGAATTAATTTCTTCCTTTCTGCCATTGAACGCGAGTTAACACGTCTTTGTTTGACTGTCGAAAAGCCGCCGTTTCAGTTCTTCACCCCTCGCCCGTTCCCCTGTCCATTGTTAAAGAGCATTTGTTTACATCGTTAACATTATTTTGTGTCATCAACATCAAAGCCATGCAAATCAAAGATAAACAACAAAAGGAGATCGCGCGAACGAACAGTGAAGAATAGTAAAAAGAGAATGATAATAATTAAAACAATTACAATTGTTAATCAATCAGCCAAGTGACCGAAGAGCAGGAAAAAAGCGACATGCATTAAGGCAAGCTCTTGCGCGGTGTAATTGCAAAAAAAAAAAGCATTGCAGCAATGACTGCGGAAAAAGTGCACTGAAGAATGGTTTGCAAAAAAAAAAAAGAAAACAACAACAGCAAGAGAGCAATTATACGAACAACGGAAATAAAAAATAATAAACGAGTGCAAAGAGTACAAGAAAATATATCAAAAAATCCAAAAACAAAAAAAAAAAAACATCGTTAAAAGTCTTTCCTTTGGAGTGTTTTATTTTTAAAGAAACAATTTTATTTTCGTATCATTTTGAGAAATTTAAAAAAAAATAGAAGAAAACTCCCTTTTTGCGGCAATTTTTGTTTCACCTTCCCCTTTTGGATTAATCAAAATTCTTTTTGAAAAATTAACGTTGGCTCAAAATTACTGGATTAGCAATGAACAGGCTCGGCATACAAATCTACAACGGTTAGTATTAATTTTATCTACTACTTAGAAAAATTATAAATATTAATATATTTTCCATGGTTTCATTGACATAGTTTGAATTGCCCACACAAAATTTTAATGCAATATAAGCCATTTGGGGAATTTAAGATATAATCAGATCAATATTGCCATTTGTGTTGGACTTGTATATGCGTATCACCTACGGCAACTACATACCTTAATCTACATGTGTTCATGCAACATAACCTCAGACAAATCAACCAAATTAAGTTAAGATCGGTTCAGAATTACATATAACAAAATTATATATACACTTCAATCGATATCGCAATAAAGTCCATTTTCAATATGCAACTGATAAGACCCTGAAAAACAGAATAGAAACATAAGACATTGAAGTTGAATCATTATACCCTACAACAATTATTATTAAGTTTGATTGGCCAAAAATTATGTAACACATCGAAATATTGGTCCTGGACATAGGATGTTGCATAGGGAACTTCCTATTTTTCCGAGCTGGGTCAATCTAGCTATTTGTTTTTGTGCGTTCATCTGTCCATGTTTATTTATAATCACGCTTCAGGTCGCAATTTGAAATTTGGTTCGAGATTCGGTATGAAGTTAGCGGTAAGGTGAAAATAGAAGCCTGTTGATGGGTGAGATGATCGCAAAATATTTGCAAAAAGCTTAGGGGGTGTCAGAAGACTACAAATTTGGATGGTCATCGAATGAAATAAACCATAACTTTTATGTAAAAAACACGAACATTTTCAAATTTTTATCGAATTTCGGCAAGTACATACCTTTAAGGTGGGAATACAAAAAACGCTTATTTGGATGGCTTACGTCATCGGCTAGTTTCAGGACATTTGGAGTCGATCTAGCGATATCCGCCCGTCCGTGTGTTTGTTGGCTGGTGGGCACCATAACTCTCGAAGGGAGTATGCGATTTGGTCCAATATTTGTTTTTGCCAAACTTAGATCGAGTTCGGAGATGAGCAATATCGGTTCACTCCTTTTGGTACCTCCCACACAAATAGTCGAAATTTTCAAAAAATATTTTTTCCTGCACATAAAGAGAAACAACAATGCTCCAACTTTGCAAGTCCCAACATTTGCGTCAGTTCTAGGTCAGATGTTAAAATGGGTCAACATTGCATCAACCCCACAAAGGGTCAACATTTTGAATAATTATAACTCTTATAAATTATCTTATATGAACCCAAGATCTTATGTTAAGATGGAATATATAGGTCTACTCCTTCTGGTACCTCCCCAACAAAATGTCGAAATTTTGAATTTTTGGTAAGCTCATAAAACGCGAAATTACCATCCCATTACATTCAGACTTGTTACATCTCAATATGTCTATCAACACAGGATCTGTTATAAAAACGGTAGAGATCGGACTACATTTTCCCTTTGGTACCTCTCCCAGATACTGTCAAAGATTTGAATAACCAAAACGTTTATAAAATCCGAAATGAGCATCAAGCTCTTTTTATATTTCACACATCCCATTATTTCTACTTACACAAGATTTGTTGTGAAGATGGAATATATCAGACCACTCCTTCTGGTACCTTCCCCAATAGGGCTCAAACTTTGAATATCCATGAAGCTCATAAAAAGCGAAATTAACGTCCGGTTTCATTCCAGACTTGGCCCATCTCAATATTTCTATCAACACAAGATCTGTTATAAAGAGATCGTGCCATTTCTTCTGATAAGATTTTGAAAAACTTAACGCTCAAAGAAAGCGAAATAAGCATCCAACTCTCTTCAAATTTTACACATACAAACATTTCTTCTAAAACAAGATATGTTGTGAAGATGATCACTCACAAAGGGTCACCATTTTCAATACCTTTATCTTTCATAACTTTCGAAACAAGTCAGCGATTCTTTACAAGTTGCTATATCTAAATATATCTCTCTTAACCAGAAACCTGAGATGAATATAGAATTTATTATTTCCCATAAATTTGGTATATATGTTCGATTTTCTTGTAATTTTTTTGCACATACCAATATTTTTATATACATTAGATGAAGCATGAAATGGAATACTTCGGTATCAACATATTCTAAAAATGATCACATATGACATATAAAGTACAGGAAATAGTCGATATAGTCCAAACCTGGCATGTCGCAATATTTATATCAGATTTATTTAGGTCCGATACGAAATGGACCATTTCAGAACCCGCTCAATAGAGGGTCAACAGTTTGTATAATCATAGCAGAAGTCAAAATATATTTAATAAATCGAACATTGGCTGAGGGTATACGTCTGTCGGCAGAACCGATTGATACTTTTTAACTTGTTAAATTAGAGATTTACAAATTAGATAAAGTAAAGTAAAACTTAACTACTCGAAAATTCAGAATCAAACACTGATATTTCGAATGGATTTTTACGTTTTTTCATGTCCTGAGGAATTCGTTTGAGTAGCACTCCTACATAATCTGTATCATTTATTAAGGCATTGTAAGGTATTAAGCGGTCGGCCCGCCTGTAGCTTTTGCTTAGTTGGTTTTAGTTAATTATGCTATTCCTGGGGCTCATATCAGTGATCCCCAGGAATGTGCGCAATGTGGGGAAACGGGGGATACATATATTTCGGACTTCCGACTTTTTTAAATTGAAACCTACCTACCTTTTGTATACCATTTCTTTTCGATAGTTGCTAACGTCTTACTTTTCTGGCCCTGCCGAATGAGGGTGCCTCTACCCTATTACGTAGGGAGTGGGGTGTACGCGCCGGAATATAGGTTACCGATAAAAAGAATGGCATAACAGCCACTTTCCAAGTGGCATTTTTGATGACAACCATTTCCATTTTGTTGGCTGCGCCATCAAACAAAATTGTCGCATCTGGGGCTCGGAAACCCCAAGAGTTATTGTTGAGAAGCCAGCGACTATTTAGAACAATTTATGTTCTGGTGGGTGCATTGGACGAGAAAGACAATGTCTAATATGAAATTCTTAAGACTGTGAGGACAAAGGCGAACCACTTTTCGATTTGGTTGTGTAAAATTTCATGAAACGGATATGTTTCTGTAACCTTGCTCTGGGTGTTCTTTGGTATTTTTTAGTCCCAACCTTGCTTTCCAAAATACCCCAGACACAATAGTCCAACGGATTGGTATCCGGAGATTCTGGTGGCCATTGTGCGTTGGAAATGAAGCGAGGAACCTCATTTTGTTACCATTCTTGGGTGGCGCGTGCTGAGTCCTGTTGGAATGTCCAAAGTCTGCGACCAAAATGTTTGCATGCCCAAGGCTTTAATACACCCTCCAGAATATTTTCGCGATAATATTCGGAATTTATTCAGCAGAAATGGCTCGTGAGATGAACATATCGCAATATTCCATTCGGCAAATATTGAAAAATGAGATAGGGGTAAAGCCATTGAAATTCCAAAAAGTGCAAGAATTTACACGGAAAAAGGAAGGAAATAGACTCAGAAGTGCTAAATAGTTGCTTCGCTTGGCCGAAAGTGGTGAACTGCCGAATTTGGTTTTCTCCGATGAGAAAACATTCGTTGCCCAGCAGTTTGTAAACAAACAAAATGTTCGTGTTTACTTGCCAAAGAGGTCAGCTGAAAATGTGCCAATTCGGTTGGTCACCCGAACTCAAGCGCGGCCATGGTGATGGTGTGGGCCGCCATAACAGCCGATGGTCGCTAACCGCTCGTACTTATCGACCATGGCATCAGAATAAATGCCGAATATTATCGCGAAAATATTCTGGAGGGTGTATTGAACCCTTGTGAACGCAAACATTTTGACAGCAGACCTTGGACATTCCAACAGGACTCAGCACCATCGCACTTAGCACGCGCCACCCAAGAATTGTTAAAAAAATGAGGATCATTGCTTAATTTCCAGCGCACAATGGCCACCAAAATCTCCGGATTCCAATCCGTTGGACTATTATGTCTGGAGTATTTTGGAACACAAGGTTAGCACTAAACCAATAAGGAAAGCTCAAGAGTCGGGCGGGGCCGACTATATGATACCCTACACCACTATGCATATTTAGTAGAGCTCTCGTAAAAAGGTTTATACAGGGCATTTAAGAGCTCTATGAAATATTTGGTACAAAATCAAAATCTATCTAATTCTATCGTGCATTTTACGAACTATAGCTATCTCTGAACCGGGGTTCTCCAAATTTTATGTATTAGCTTCTAGACTGAATTCGGTCTTATGTACGAAAATTCAGGTGATTTGGGCTGATATTGACCATTTAGTGCACATTTAACCCGAAATCGGATGAAGATATATATTGGAGCTATATCCAAATCTGAACCGATTTCGGTAAAATTTAAAACAGCTATTCCTATGCTCCATCTAATACCTGGCACCAAATATCACGGTTGTGGAGTGAATATTACGAATGTAAGGGACTAAAACACTAAATCGGATGAAACATATATATGGTTGCTATATCTATATCTGAACCGATTTTCACTAAATTTGATATACTTGCTTCTAGGCTGAATTTGGTCCGATGTACTAAAATTCAGTCCATTTGGACTTATATCGGCCATTTGGTGCACAATTAACAATTAACCCGAAATCGGATGAAGATATATATGGGAGCTATATCCAAATCTGAACCGATTTCGATAAAATTACAAACAGCTATTTCTGGGCTGTATCTTTTATCTGGTACCAAATATCATTCTTGTGGAGTGCATATTACGAATGTGAGAGGCTTAAACACCAAATCGGATAAAACATATATATGGGAGCTATAGCTGTTTCTGAACCGATTTTCTCCAAATTTGTTGTATTTGCTTTAAGGCTAATCTCGGTCACATATGCCAAAATTCGGGCCATTTGGGCTGATATTGGCCATTTGGTGGCCAATTAACCCGAAATCGGATGAAGATATATATGAAAGCTATATCCAAATCTGAACCGATTTCGATAAAATTTGAAACAGCTATTTCTGTGCTCCATCTAATACCTGGTACCAAATATCACGGTTGTGGAGTGCA